ACCGAGCGATTCTGTGATTCTGTGATCTCTGATCATGTCTGATGTAAATGGGATTTACAGTGGTCCTTGACAAATACAGAGCTGGAGTTTGGCACAGGTGAGCAATAGATGGAAAAGGTAACTCATCCATTGTAAGCTGTATTATGGATGAGCGTTATGGTGAAGCTTGTATTTTAAGCTTGATAAAATTGTCTTGAGAAGACAAATACTGCTGGAGAAAGAATGAGTCTCTGAAGGCAACCAAGATGCATAGTGTTCCAGACTAAATATCATGTATAGAAACTAGCTAAGAGTAAAGATTCTCTTGGTTTAGCTGTGCTTTAGCTATGTAATGTTACGCAAATGAAGCGAACGACTTGTGTCTGGAAATTACTAGTCAGGGAAGAAACATGGGGAAGAAGTGAGGGGGGGAAAAATCTAGAATCAAAATTAAAAATTAGTGGGGGAGAAAAGATTCCTTGAGTTTACGTCTTGAATTTACTGTAGACAAGCAATTCTAAGTATCTTAAAAACAAGTTATTTTAAAAATTGGGAGTTTTCTTGAAACATAAAGAAGGAAATTTAGAACAAAAAGTAGAAAATCAACATTGGAAGCGGTGTGGATATATAGAATAGAGTATTGAAACACTGCACTTTTGGAGAAATGCAGTCAGAAAACCGGATCTCTACAGCAGTCTGGAAAGTAGATTTGAAAATACTGATGTTGTTGTACTTTGGCCGAATCAATAGTGGAAGGTGAGATGGTTTTATTTTTTTTTGGTTACTTTCCACAGTCCTCCTTTAAAATTTCCACTTATGATTAAGTAGTCATGATGCCAATTACAAAGCTGTTATTCAGAAAGTTCATCTTGCTCAGGCTTCAGTGGGCTAGTTTCCTTTAAAAAGAACCAAAACCATCCAACCAATAAATAAACAAAAAAAGAAAGAAAAACCAGAAGCAGTGCTAGCTTTCTGCAGGGACCTTTCGGTGCTGGAAACCAGCAATACCTTGAAGTTTCTAACATGTGTGCACTGTTGTTGCTTGGTTGGACCTCTGTGAGTTGTGATTAAATACAGCACCCTTGTTCACGGGAAGAACTCTATGTACCAGTGGAGAGCTGTACTTTCATGAGGAAGGGGAGGTGTATGTGCAGGGTCCTCTCTATTGTGCAGAGAATTAAACTGCTTCTTTGTTTTGCCAAGCAGCTAACAGTGGTGTCAGTGGCCTCCCAGCCTCCCAGCTCCCCCCAGAAGACGGTGGGCGTCCCACTGAATGTAGCGTTAGGACAGCAGATCCTCACAGTGCAGCAGTCAGCACCCTCCTCCCCTGGGAAGGCTATTGTGAACCACACAACCGCCCAGGTACAGACTGACTTTCCTTTGTCTTCTACTGCATTTCCGTCTTGTCTCGTTGCTTGTGGGAAACTGGAGTGCTGAACTGCACATTGACCGTGGTCAGTCTCCATGTGTTCTTGTAATGGTGTTTGCTTTATTGACAAAAGTGTTGCCCCAAGGAGCACACGCTTCTTCAGTCGAGGGGTGCAAGCCAGTACAAGGACATGTGGTTACAAAGCAGCTTTCCAACCTGGAAAGCCCACAGTTCTTTTCTCTGTACATTGGATCTTCCAAATCGTCTGAAAGGCTCCCTATGATGTGAAGAAGAGTTCTTTGGGTGGTTCTGTCTCTTCTGCTGGTGTTTCTATGCCAGTAAGTAGGGCTGCTTTCCAAGTGTTTCTGAGGTTTGCAACACTGGAGTTCGCACTCCTGTGGTAGAGGTCTGCATAAGCAAGACATTGTGGTGTAAGGCCTACAGAATTAGAAATTACCAATTTCTTGTCTCATTTCTAGAAAAATAACAAGGTTTTCCATAATAGCTTTGATGAATTGGTTTACATTAGTGAATGACAAAATAAAACTGACCTCTCTTACAGACTGCTGTTCTTATTTTATTCCTGTTTTCTAATCTTAGGTGAATTTTTTCCTGTCTTAATGTCTGTATTCCTATTTTGGTAAATATGAAGGGATGTGCATGACTGTAAATAGGCAGAGTGGATACAGCAGCGTAGACACAGTTGCATGCACAGCACGAGACCAGAGACTCAGATTTTGCCAGGCTCAAGGATACAGGTGGTAATTGGAATGGTGATATGAGGACATGGACACCAGTGTGATTTGGTTTCTTGTTTGTGGTTTTGGTTTTTTTTCCCCAGAGTAAAACTGGCAAAATTGTCTTTTTAAAACAGCTGTTAAAAGGTTGATTCACTCTAATGCAAGCACTCTAAGTGACCAAATGGAGATGCCTGTATGGTATGCATACTGAGTTGTGATCCAAAGCTACCTGAAAAAACACAAGGGTTTCACCTGTCTTCACTGAGCTTAAGAACTGTCACTTCAATTTTACAGTTTTCCCAGTTGTCCTTGGATGGTAGCCACTAATTTGTCTGCTTGCAGGAGCTTTCACCATGCTGGTCTCCCTGTGATGACACTTACGCTGTGTCTGTGCTTGCAGATAGTGCTTCTTTTGAATTATGCTGGGTTGTTGAGGTTTCAGTATATTAAAAAACAAACAAGCAAAAACAAACAAAAACACAAACAAGGGGTGGAGGAAAGCCAAAACCAACAAGAAAACACCTTCCTTAAAAGACTGGGTTTATATTTTTATATTTCCAGTGAAATATGTACAAATTGAGGTTTCATCCCTATAGCTGCTGAAAGCTGGGAAAATGTTCTAAAAAACAGTCACATCATACTATGAACTACATTTAGTACTAAAACTTAACGACAATGATACATTTCATATCGATATTAAGATACTGAGAATAAAAGGCTGAACTCCAAATGAAATCAGATGGAACGGGAAAGAGGAGGAATAAACCAAGATTTGAGGTTATCAGCAAGGCTGGAAAAAGGGGCCATTATCAATCAGACTTATAAATGTGTATGAATAAAATAAATATTTACTTGTTATTAATTCATAGTTTGAGAGAAATTGGAGAGATGAAGTCTTGCAAATTCCAGGTGTACTGTTACCCCAGCTTTGAGGTAGCACAGGTCTGGTGAACTCTGCTGCTTTCTCATTTTTGCTTTTTTTTTCTCAGTAAATTTGTTTTGCTTCTCTTCACTGTTCTTGCTGCTTTCATTTCACAGCTTGTTCTCTATTTCTCATGTTGTCAGTTATCAGTTTATGGACTCTCTTCCATTTCCTCCTCAAGGGCTGCACAGTGATTTCTGTGTATTAACTGCAAACAGTCTTAACGGGACATATCTGTGCACACGGACAAATAATGCCACAGACTGACACGCTTTTGCAAGTTTTTACCATATATTTTTTTTTAGTAGGAATATTTCTAGGTTGGTTTGTTGCTCCATTTTGAATATAAATGGAGCCATCTGCTCTGTAGTCAGCTGAAGTGTTAGTCAGCAGACATTGTATCTGAGGAAGTGGACTGAGTCACCCTACTCGTGTAAATATTAGTTTACTGTGGTGTTTGGTTAAAATATTGAAAATGGAACTCTTTGCTTTGCTCTGAGCTGTTAAAAGTCATCTAATCTCTTTGCAACTGTTTTTGAAAGCAAAAATGGGGATAACTGACTTGCTTCTCAAGGATACAAATGGATTAAGGAGTTGCTCGGTAACAAATTGAGGAACAAACATGCTGATGTTCTTTCTGCCTTTGTACAAATAAGTTTATGCTGTCTGTTTTTGGCTTAGCAGGCTGTGAAATCAGCAGTGCAGACCATTACTGTAGGAGGAGTGGGTACATCTCAATTTAAGACAATTATTCCCTTGGCAACTGCACCCAATGTTCAGCAGATTCAGGTACCTGGAAGCAAGTTTCATTATGTCCGACTCGTAACTGCCACGACAGCCAATAGTTCAACCCAGTCAGCCAGTCAGAATCCCAGTACGAATACACAGCCTCTTCAACAGGGTAAGTGCTGGTGCTGAAGTATTGTCTGAAGTAAGTTTTTCTTGGCTTTTTTCTTGTTTGCTTTGTAAGGATTAAAATGAGAATGTAACAAAGACCTTTCAAAACTGCCAGATACACTTGATTTTGTGGTAGACTCCTATAAATTTTTGAAAGGATTCATATTCTGCTGTTACCTCTGGTTTTTCTGTGTCAGACTGCTCTGTAGTTGAGCCTGAATCCTTGGAGCATTTGAGGTTGCTTTTCCCTAGTTTACCAGCTTTGTGGATGACTGATGGCAAGTCCTGCGTCCTCTGTATGAAAAGTGTGAAGTCAGAACAGCTCACAAACATATTACCAAAACTCCCACAACACAAAGATCTTTCCATGTAAAATGCTTTAGAAGCACAAAATGTTTCTGCAGGTTTCTGTCCATTCTTTATGGAGTTGTGATGGAATAAAAACCATTGCTGTGAAACGTGTGGACACACTTGTGCAAATACCTCTTTACAAATACCTTTTCTTTAGGCGTGTTACGTGCCATGAGTTTGGTCAGTTAATCTCAGTGTATAGTTACAGTACTAAGTATCTTTGCATTATGTGCATGTGAAAGTCTAGACAACTGAACTGTGGACTTAGATTGAATGTGTGTCAATGTGATGTTGTTTCTTGATACTAGCGAAGCCAGTGGTGGTGAACGCAACCCCGGTGCGGATGTCTGTTCCCATAGTGCCAGCACAGACTGTGAAACAGGTGAGCAAAATGTAAAAGGTATATTCCCAACTTATTTTGGCTGGATAGAAAAAAAAAGTTTGGTTTCAGCACCATAATGAAATGTTACCGTAATAAAAGTGCATTCTGAATCAATAAAACAATTATTTCATAAAGACCTCTTTTTTTTTCCCAGGTGGTGCCCAAACCAGTCAACCCAACTTCCCAGATAGTTACTACTAGCCAGCCCCAACAAAGACTTATTATGCCAGCCACTCCACTGCCACAGATACAGCCCAACCTCACCAACCTCCCGCCGGGCACTGTACTGGCACCAGCACCTGGCACAGGAAACGTTGGCTATGCAGTCCTTCCAGCTCAGTACGTCACACAGGTATGCTCTTAACCCAGAGATACATAAGGAAATGGTGCTGCTGTGGAACATGCTGCCTTACTGTTAAAGGTTCTTGTTCCCCAGCACAGGTCTTGAAATTAGGATTTTCCTCTTTGCCAAGATCTGACTAGCATTCAGAACAAATTGGAAAATAAATGAAATGTCCTGCTTGAAGGCTGAACGGTCAGTCTCTGTGCTAACAAGGATTCTGTCAGCTGATGGCATTAGTGGCACCAATCTAATTTTTGGTTCAGCTGCAATTTGTCCCTAAAGACACTTACCGCATACTTCCATTCCACTTCCACAAATATTATCTTAAACTAAAAATACCATTTGTTGCACCTCTCCTCAGAGGTTTTGTGATTCAGACGCAATCTGTCCCCTTTGGCCTGGCCCCAGTATGTCTGTATCTTGTTATTTGCCAGTCTGCCTTCAGAAACTGTCCCAGCAGGAGAAAGTGGCTGTGCGTAGATAATACAAAAGAAGGAAGCCCAAACCAGTGTCATTTGGCAGGCTCTTATGAGGGTTGTTTGGTTTTTTTTAATGGGAAAAACAAACTGTGGGTCCAGGTATGCAGAGAAGTTGGAATGTAAATAATCTTACTTGCATTTATTTGTTTCCATAATAAGTGGCTTATATATTAAGGAAGCTAATAAAGTAATTTGTGCAGGAAGGGATCCTTCTTCATTGTGGGCAGGGTTGCTTACGAAAAGAAGAGGGGGAAATGAGCATGTTTTTAGGAGCTGGAACTGTTTGTGGTCTGAACATTTCTGTGTGTAGTCTGTGTTATCTGTATGGCTGTATACACTGTAGTAGAGAACAAAAATATCATCTAAAATGTTTTTCTGCCAAGTATGGAGGTAGGAGGTTCTGCAAATTTCTAAAACTGCTTACAAGCATATTATTTTTATTACAATATTTGGCAAGCTTATTGAAAGACTAGCTACAAATCCTCCTGTGTATACTTTAATTTCTTTTATGTTACATATTAACCTTTTTGTTTTGTTAGCTACAACAATCATCATATGTATCTATAGCAAGCAACACTGGCTTTACAGGAACATCTAGTATCCAGTCCCAAGCACGGCTACCATTCAATGGGTGAGTGTTTTGTGAAGAGTTTTTAAAAATATAGACAAACAAACAAAACAAAAACAAAACCACCATCACCATACAAAAAAAACCCCCAAACCTGCAGTATGGGCTGCTGAATCGGCATTTTCTTTCAGTCCTGTTGTAAGAATTGGTGGGACTGAGGTGTTGGGGTTTGGCTTTGGGGGGCTTTCCAAGAAAAACAAGTATACTGTGGTATGGCTGTTACCTCTGAGTAAAGGACATGGATCTATCTAACAACTGAGCCAGTCTTTTGAACAAAACTCTGTTTCCCTTTGTTTTTCGAACACCTATAGCAGGAAGTTGACCTGAAAGCTCCGTGTTGCTTATTTTTCATTTTGCATCAACACCTGGGAGCTATGGGCCTCAACTGTTTCTTGGCATTACTGGAAAGAAGTGCTGGATGATATAAAAGCAGGATGCTTAGCACATGCAGAAATCCAGCTGAACAGCAAAATGGAACTAAAGCCCAAAATGGATCCTGATAGGAGGCTTTGGGTTTTTTCAGTCTTGTATTTTTCCTTTAAGGATGAAAATAATGGCTAACGTGTTTGGGTTTTTTTTTTCCCTTTGCTAAGCCAACAGGCTTAGCTGTTCTGCACACTTGTTTTGTGTTATTGTTTGCTGGAAATTGTAAAAACCAAGGTGCTTTTTGTTGTTGCAACCTCAACTGATTCAAACTAATCCCAAATCCTGATGCAGCTATTCAAATGAATGGGTTTGATTTAATCCCCCTAGTATTACGTGCAGAAATTGCTGGACAGAGATGGAACAAATCTCATCAAAAGCGATTAGTGACACAAAATACAAGTTTTAAGAGCAGTTAAGGACTGTCTAATATAAAATTTATGTATAAACTGAATGTGATGTTTTGGTTTGCTTTTCCATTATCGAGGAGCTGCTTTTTTAAATCCAACTGGAACAAAAGGAAAGGCATGGTCACATTATGTTGGTTGGATCTTGTCCCTCTGCCTTGTAGAGGAGTTCTGAGGAAGTTTTCTCTGATTCCAGTTTTCAGTTATGATGCTTACTCTAGTTTTAAGCCTCATTTCTACTTCAGACATGCAGCCAGATTTGTAGCAGATAACCCAGCTCTTTCTGGGTTGGAAAGGCACTATATATAACAGTTACTTAAACACAGTCAGCCAAAAGCCTAATGCAAGAGGAATAGAAAGATTTTTTTCAAAGTTTGTATTACAAGCCATTTACTTGTATTTAAAGTAAGAAGAAACTGATAAAGTGTGTGTGTGTACATATAGATGCACTTTTTTCCTCCACAGAATAATTCCTTCTGAATCTGCAAACCGCCCCAGGAAGCCTTGCAATTGTACTAAGTCTCTATGTTTGAAATTGTAAGTACAACTTGGGTTTTTTTGTTGTTTTTCTTTAAGCCTTATTTTAGACATCACTAGTTCATGCCAAGTATTAAAATATAATGTTTTTAAGTATGTCAGAAATGTTACGTCTGGATGCTAATTTAAAGTTGCTGTTGGTATTGGTGAAGATATTGCAGTGCCTACGTCATTTTGCAGCTCCTGTGAGCTATCCGGACCCTATCATTTTATAAATTTTGAACCTTGTAGCCTTGTGTGTGGTGGAGCCAATTCCACTCAGCAGCTGGAGTTGCGTTGGTGTTGCTGTGAGTGAAATGACATCTCATGGTATCATCAGTGGGCACCTACCATACTTCGGTGAAGCGCATCAGTAATGCCATGCTGTATCAAGTAATGTAGAAAAATTGGGCTGTGTATCTTTTCTTAAATGATCAAATAGACAAATGATTCTTCACTGATAGGTCTGAGTCTTGCTCAGCTTCATGAGCTATTTTGCCCTTCCATTCAGTGTCTTTGTAATAATTTGACACAAAAGCATTTTAAGCCAAGGAGATGCTAAGCTGGTTTTTTGTTTGGTTGGTTTTTTTTTTAACTCGAGGCAAAGTCAGTTTACTGATTTTTTTATTTTTTATTTTTTAATTTTTTTTGGGGGGGGGCAATATCAAGAGGAGATAGTAAAATTAATCTGTGGTTCGCTGAATCCGAGACAATGAAGAGGAAATCAGTGGTGTGCTACTTAAAGGGAAAGTGATGCAGCAGTATCTGAACCCAAGTTAAGTGTGTTAAAACTCTTCAGCTTGGGTTTCTTTTCATGTAATGCACACCACCCCTATGTGGGGAGGTGTGCCCTGTTCTTCCTAGCCTCAAAATTGTCTTTTGCACCAAAGGCATGGTAAGTGGGAAGACGTGTAGCTGTTTCTTCAAACATTTTAATATATACATGACTGACTTTATAGTGCCAAATATATAGTAGATGTCTAGAGTTTTCCACTTCTTTTAGTCTTTGGTGCCTGAATGCTCCAGAAATACTGGGAAAATAACAATGTCGCTGGTGATGCTTTGCACCTTCAGAATGCTGTTTGGAAGTGAACTTTTCTTGTAAATTACTGTAATTATATCTTTAAGTGGCTAGGCATTGGTGCAGAGCAACTGGCTAATTTACTCTAGCAAAGGTGCTTTCTTACTACTAAAACTTTTTCCCATCTGGAAGGTGAGTTGCTTTTCCCCAAATGAATGTTGAAGGTAGGCAAATAGCCTGTTCTGCAAAGAAGAAAACTCAGAAGTTATTTGCTTGCTGATATTTTGGGTTGATGCCAGTGCTGTTTGTTTTGGAAACCAAGACCATTCCACTACTGAATTTTAAACAGGACAGAAAGGAGAGCTATTACAGGCTGTAAAAGCTTTTTATGTAGTTTGTCCCTGGATGCTTTTAGCATTCAGGATGTGAAAAGTCACCAAAATGCAGTTTGACCAGATAGAGGATTGTAGTAGACTCTAAGGCAACCCTAATCTAGTTCTTGTAGTATTGCCCTGGGCAAGCTACAGGTAGCCAGTTTTGCAAGGGGTTTAGGCTCCTAAAAATGAACATGCACTCCCAGCAGGATTTGAAAAGCAGCTGAAGATGATCAGCAGTTTCCATCAGCTACAGCTGGAGGTGGTACTGGAAGCACTGAAACCTGCCTGAGTTTGTCATAGCCCAGAGCTATGTCTGAGTAGGGGATGAATGTGGTGCTATCATGTATCAGATCTGTGAGGTGGTGGGATCTTGATTTTTCAGCAGGAGGTAGCAGGGGTACATACAAGGCATGGCAATATAATTGACTTTCCTGGTCAGTGTTTTGCTGCTTTTTATTCACATACTTGTCCCTTTAAATTGTTTCTGGTAACTACACATGGAGTTGAGTGTAGGACAACCCTTACTCTGATTGGTGCATGTGCGCATCGCCAGGCTGGGCACTTCTGCCACTGCCCACCAGTATTAATGTCAGTGTAATGGTCATGTTTATAAATGCCTTCTGCATCTTCTGTTTCAGGTATTGCGATTGTTTTGCAAATGGTGAATTCTGCAATAACTGCAACTGTACAAACTGTTATAACAACCTGGACCATGAAAATGATAGGCAAAAAGCAATAAAGGTGAGGGGGTCTTTTTTTTTTTCGTTGGTTTTGGGTTTTTTTGTTTCCCTTCCTCCTCTGCCCTTCTGAAGTTGAAGCTAAGAGCATGTTCCCATGTGTACAGATTTTGGCATGCACCTACAGAGCATTGTGATGGGACAGCTGACCTTTTGGTTTGCCTCCAAAGACAGCTGGGATGAAAGCCACATAGCTTGAGTCTTCTGAACCTCCAGTAAGGGGCAGAAGTGGGTGTATAATTGCCTGATCTCCATGTTGCAAGGCTTAAGTTCTTTAATTGTGCTTCTAAATTCTACTCCCCACAAGCAGTGACTGACCGTTTGGGTCTGCATTGACAGGCCTGCCTTGACAGAAACCCTGAAGCCTTCAAGCCCAAAATAGGGAAAGGAAAGGAAGGAGAATCAGATCGGAGGCACAGCAAAGGTTGTAACTGTAAACGCTCGGGATGTCTCAAAAACTACTGCGAATGTTACGAGGTATGAAGCATTATCTCATCTTAAAGATATTGGCTTTTTCCCTTTAGTGCTACGACTTCGCTGATTTGCTTTGTCTCTTCTTTGTATTGCTGTAATTTTTTTGTTTATTTCTGCTTCCAGCAGTTTGCGTGTAGAAAGCCATTTGTGTGGCAAAATTGATTGCTTTGGTTGTAAAGTTTCATTTTAAGCCATATAGCAGTGCTGAACATGGGCTTAGATTTGTCTTTTACTGAAGAGGAGTATTTCCCAAAGAAACCTACTGCACCAAGTCCTTAGGACTGACATAGAACATATATGTGGAACACAAAGGCAAAAGTCATTCATGCATGAGCTAACTGATCAGTCTGTGGATGTCAGTGGTAAACTGACCCCTCTTATAGCTCAGCCACCTCAGTTCCACCAGAAACAGTAGCCTGGTGAAAAAAGGGATGAGTGGGAAACCATTGATTTGCATTTGATTCAAGTACACATTCTGGGAAGGCATCTCGGTTTGAAGTGAGAATTGAGAGGGAAGACTACTGCTTAAGGCATTCTTCGAGTGGCTAAACTGATAACAGATTAAAGCAAGATCTCCTTTTCTTTGTGGCCTGTCATAAAGGGAGTCAATGTTGCAACAGATTTCTCATGTTTTGTTTGTTTCTTTCAGGCAAAAATCATGTGTTCTTCCATATGCAAATGCATCGGCTGTAAAAATTTTGAAGAAAGCCCAGAGCGAAAGACATTGATGCATTTAGCAGATGCTGCAGAAGTTAGGGTCCAGCAGCAGACCGCTGCAAAGACAAAGTTATCTTCCCAGATCTCAGATCTGCTCACGAGGCCAACACCAACACTCAGCAGTGGTGGGAAGTAAGTTAATGCAGCACCTTGGTTTGGTTGCTGCTTACGGGTTTTTTTTTTCTGATGTATGTGACAAGTATGTCCCTGTCGTCTTTGAATGTGATCTGCATAAGTTGTAGAAGCAGGAACATTCAGGTGAATGGAGCCTTTCATTGACACAACCATGTTTTCTGTGGAACCTAGGGTCTGCCAAGCTTGGCTGTGTACAAGCATGCAATTTAGCATTGTCTTCTCATGGTTGCCTGTGTGCTTACAGAAAGCATGAAGTGCAGGTGTCCCTTTTACTGAGAGGATGTAATCCTTGAGCTGCCATTGTAGTAAAATCTAGAGAATTGTTCTATCCACTTGGGCATTTCAAAGTCTGTTTCAAAATACACATCGATGGAGGCAGGCATCAAAGTACAATAGCCTACCAGTTCATTTGACTGTAACTGTCACTTATTTACTCACCGATGGTTGTCTAAAGGCCCTTGGGAACAATGGGACAGATGAAATCTTATCAGTCCTCATACTAAAAAGTTGCCCAGCCCTGAAGTTAAGTGCATTGTGTGTTTTCGCTGGGAGTGAGTGGGTTTTTGTCTGTTTCAGGCTGCCCTTTACATTTGTAACCAAGGAGGTAGCTGATGCAACCTGCGAATGCCTTCTTGCACAGGCAGAGCAAGCGGAAAAGATGGGCAAATCGAAAGCTGCAGCAGAGCGCATGATCCTGGAGGAGTTTGGACGCTGTTTAATGAGAGTTATTAACTCTGCAGGGAAGTCCAAAAGTGACCCTTGTGCCATGAACTGCTGACTCATGCACATGAGCCACAATGAAGCGGACTGAACAGAACACTTAAGGCACAGGGACACTTTGGTTTTGCATGGAGGATTTAATAACGTTTGTTAATTTGGTGCTTGCTGTAAATTGACCTGCATAAGATTGAAATGAGAAAATCTTTTATAACAACATATAGAGCCTTTTAAATCTTAGTTATATCCTCTTCTACTTAAAACGATACCTAAAGGTCGATTTTTTTTTTTTTCTTCTTCCCAATGTACAGCTTTTACCTTGTGTTTCTTAAAAATTAGGTGTGTTCTCCCCTTTTCCCCAGAATAATTGCCTGAAGGGCATATATAAATTATTATAATATATATTATTTACAGTGTATGGAGGTGCATCACTTTGTGCATTCAGGAAAACACAGGTTGTGTCGATAGCCAGGTGGTGCTTTTGGCAACAGGCATGTACTAAGGAGGTATCAGTGTATCCAGGATAGTTCTGAAAGGACATAAAAAATGAGCATCTAAATGGAAGGTAGTACTTGTATTTAAGACCTCACACAGCACTTTCCTTTGGTGCACAGAGCAGTATGAAATAATACAGGCAATAATACAGAGGGCTTGCTTGCAGGTTTAGCATTGGGCAAGTGCTGAAGAATCTCACTGGAGCGGAGCTCAAGGAGTTTAGAGGCGAATTAATTAATGGGAAAGTTTTCATAGGGTTTGTGGCTGAGGGGTCAAGTGTTTCTTCTTCAGCTGGAAATTGAAGGCTAAGATAGTGGCCTGTCCTCAGAAGCGAGGAAGAGCAGCCATGCCACAATGCTGGACTGTTTGCCCAGTGTACAGTGTTAGCTAAGTGTGCAGCAGGTGAATGCTGTTGCTTAGGTGAACCTTTGTGTTCAGAGGTCTGCAGCAGCCTAATCCCTCACTGGAAGTAGGGCTGTGCAGAACGTTTGGTTTTCTAAGATCAAGCTGTAACCCTGGAAGTGTTTTAAACCCCAGAAGCTGAGGTCATGGGAGGTAGTGGAGCCACAGTTGTCTTAATGAGGACAATCTGCATCCGAATTGACTTGCAAATGCAGGCTGGGATCATATTCAGCCTCAGTATGCTGGCAATTTACTTGGCCTAAGGGTTTTTTTAGCATTGTTTAGAATGACTGTGAGTACCATGATCAGGGAGGATCCTAGCACAGAAACAGGATTGCTACCAAAACAGATACATGGATCCTTTTACACAAAGCAGGGGAACAGGGGAATCAACTGTAGCCATGTATAGACTAGGGCAGGGGATTTTTTTTCCCAATATTTGTTACAAGCAATTTCAGATCACGTTTTTGATAGTGGAACACATTTGCAAAATTAACCTGGTAGGTTACTTATGTACCATGAACATCAATAACTATGTTTAATCACAGGCATTTTTACCTGTCTCACTACTGCCTGAACAAGACAGCTAGGTTTTTCCAAAAGGGATTTTGTATTCCTTCTGTAAAATTGTAAATACAGAGAAATGCAACAGAGCTCTTCCTCCAGGTTTTCTAGTGGAGCTGGGCTGGGAAAGGCAGGGGCCACATAAACCAGCAGCAGAGCCAAGTGCCTACATGTGTGATGACAGCAGGATGGAAAGATGCTTCCGCTCCTGTCTTCACCCCATGGTCCTGTGCACTGAGCAGAAGGCCCTTTCTCCTTGACCTTTCTGTTATGCCTCCTCAAAATGCCTTGGAGGTGCAAAGGGCCTGGGACGTGGCCGGCACTGGCAGAGTACCCATCGGGTGGCCATTGCGGTCCAGGTTTCACCTGCTGGTCCCCATCTGAAGAGTCCTGTCTGCTAGTAACATCTCCCTGAGCACAAATAACGAGTGTATTTTGAGAATCTCTGAAAAGGGCATCCACCTCTCATGTAATTATATGCCATTTCTTTTCATTAGGACTTGGATTTACTAAAAAGTCAGTGCAGTAACTTTACATGTAGATAGTGCGGCTATTCGGTTTACTTCTAGTGACCTAATATAGTATGTCCAGTAAGATTTGTATAAATGTAAATTAGTTTAAGTGAATAAAGTAATAGCTACTTATGTTATTTTTAAAACAGATTGCAATATACCTTCTTCTGTTTAGACTTTAATTCATGTTAATTTTGTATATATTCTGTCTTTCTTTAAATTGCACCTTTTGTGATGTGTATTTATATAGAGTGCAAAACACAGTTGTAATTATGTATGATGGCATTGCTTGAGAATATTTTGCTTGTAAAGACTTTGAAGGTGCAATCAAATGCTCTTAGTTCTTTTATTTTGTTTTGGACAAGCTTTCTCAAATACTAAGCTTGGATTCTTCTCTCCCCGCTCCCTGGTGTAGTATGTGTGAATTTGTTTTTGTACTTCCTTAGCCACTTGCATCAAACTGCTAGACAAGATTTACAGTCAAGTTCATGGGGCAAGGGTTCATTTTCTAGTTCTGTTTACATCCAAAAGTAGAAAAATGAAATTTATATTTACTAGACCTATTCAAAGAATACACTTTTCTATATTGTAAAAATAAAAGTCAGATAAATCACAAAAATAAACATTTATACTATTCTGTAAGTACTTTTTTTTTGCACTCCTTTCCTTCAGCACTGACAAATATACACAAAAGGTTTTCACTGAAATGTCAAAATAAATCTGTTGGCACTAAGCCCACTTCTGATGCAAGTACTGGCTTGGCTTCTCAGGATGAGATCAAATCCTACCAGAGATAGACCCTCGGTTACTGGAGTACTTGCATAGCAGTTCATGGCACATCGTGACAGTTCATCCAGGGCCAAAGCTTGTCAACCAACACAGCACCAGGTAGTGGAACCCACATGATAATTTCTCACTTTCTTTTAAACTCCTTAATGTGAGCAGTTTTTGCACATGCACTGACTGGATGAGAGCTAGGCTCAGGCTGAGCAGGAAGACATGCAGGGTGACACACAGAGGTTGTGGAGGACCCTGGGCAAAACTCTGAGGCAAAGGTTTGTCAAGAGCCTTAGACTGTTTGTTAGCAGGATGCAGTGTGCTGTTTTCTTCTGGCATTTGTGTCTTTTTATGCCTCTTTTGGCAAGGTGGCTTGTGAGCAGCTTTTGCAAAGTTGTATTACTTGGTTGCGTTAAGAAATGCATGTCAGTTAAGAGAGCTTGTGGTTTGTTTCTGCAAAGTAAAACCTGGTTTTATTTTTGTGCATACAATTTCTACGTTGTTTTTTTAGCAGCTTGATAAAGGTACTGTATGATCAGTGCTCAGGGAGTCTTAGGAGCTTTGTTAGGATGTTGAGCAAACAGAAGATGTTACCGGACTGAGCTCTTCCTCCCGAGCACACCAGCTTCCCCTAGAGAAGGCTGTTGGTTACCTTAGGCTGCAGTACAGGACTGAGAGAAGGAGTGAGGTGTTCAAAGTGATTTAGGGGTGGGTTTGTATGGCCCTCAGGGAGGGTGTGGTGCTAGGAAGGGTGACGGTGTTTCAGAGAGAACATCTGAGCAAGCAGGACTTGCTGAGAAAGCAGTGTTCAAAAGACATTGGGAAAAGGAGCAGTGCAGAAAATTACTTGGTCACAATTGTGGAATTAGGAATGCTGAAAAGCTCCACTGAAACCTGACAATTCCTGCAGTGTGAGTACAGCCAGCAGTATCTGTGGTGGGCAACAGCAACTCCGTATCTTTGGAAAACAACAGCAATTGGTACAGGGTTCCTATAACAACTGTCAAGTTTTCTTGTGACATCAGATAGCTTTGTTGATTAGAAAACTGCCACTGTTCTATTAACAATTATTCTATTTTGCTCAAGCATCATCCTACCACACCCTGTAAAACTTCCTCAACATCTCTTGAAAATCTGTCATCAGTAGTTCAGTGCATTACAAAAGGATGTGCAAGCTGTGGGTGGTCAGCTTGCCTGTGCAGCGCTCTCTGGCTCAGTTCACTGCTCAGCAGCAACCACGCAAACCCCTTGAGAAATTCAGAGCTGAGGCAGCCCTGTCCACGCCACGCCTGCTGTGTTCGCAGCTTCACCCCAGGGGCCAGGAGCTTGTGCATGTCTTTGTGTAAGAGCTTCCCATTTGGGAGGAGGCTCAGTATGAATCTCCCCAGAGGGAAACAGGAAGTGGCAGCGTACAAAATGTCCAGATGAAAAAAAAACACAGCGAGGAAGTGCCTGTTGTACAGCTCAGCTCATATTGCCAAGAGCAAATCGTGTCTCACCAATTTGGTGACCTTTTATGATGGAGTTACAGCTTCAGTGGGTAAAAGCAACTGACGTCATCTACCTGAACTTGTGCAAAGCATTTGACACTGTCCTGTGTGACATCCTGGTCACAAAACTGGAAAAGTGTGCATTTGGTGGATGGACCACTTGCTTGGATAAGGAATTGGCTGGATGGTCACACTCAGAGAATTGTGATCAATGGCTCAGTGTCCAAATGGAGACCAGTGACAAGTGGTGTTCCCCAGGAATCAGGACTGGGACCAGCACTGTTTAACACCTTTGTCAGCGACATGGACAGTGGGATCGAGCGCACCCTCGGCAAGTTTGCGGATGACACCAAGCTGGGTGGTGCAGTTGACACCCTGGAGGGAAGGAATGTCATCCAGCGGGACCTGGACAGGCTGGAGAGGTGGGGCAGTGCCAACCTCATGAAGTTCAACGAGCCCAAGGGCAAGGTCCTGCACCTGGGTAGGGA